CTGAGTCGTGATCTTGCCCATCATGAAGCCAGCTTCGTCGAAGTTGTAGACGTCCTCGTCACAGATGCCGTACTTAGCCTTTGTCTGCTCTACAAGCTCAAACCAGCTCTTGATTAGGACTGGATCTTCACATAGAGCTCTCTGCCTATCGTACGCTCGATTGAAACGCGTCGTAAGACTGTCTGTACGCTTGACAAAGTTGGCTGGCCGCTTCTGCCCAACCTGGCCAGCGCCGCGCGCAGCCAGCAGCTTATCAGCCATATCGCGCACAGCAGCATACGTGGGCGCAAATCCACGTAGATCTAGATCAAGTATATGATCAACTATCACCTCCTCTTCTAGCTTAGTGAGCTTCTTTGAGTTAGGCTGGCAATCGCGTCGAGCAGGTATACCAGCGCGTCGGCGGCGGATTGTTCGTTCAGACACGTTGTAGACAGCAGCAGCGCGACGATTACTTTGTGTTTGATAGAGATTAATAGAAGAAATAGCAAGCTAAATATCTGCTTTATTTAAAGCTAATTAAGTAGCGCTACGTTGAGCCATTGTTCGTTGAGATAGGAGAGGTGCGCAGGTTTGGTGGGGTGCGGCGCTCGCTTACCTGCGGCGCTCGCTTGCCACATACGTTAAGCTATTTAAGTCTTCACTGGGCAACCTACCCAATTGTGTACACCTGACCATGCCGTAACACTCTTTATTCCCCCTGCGCTGCACCCGGGCATATCCCTAGTATGCATGAGTATATCGGCCATTCCAATGCTTGGCACATGGAAAAATAGTCAGTGAAAAAATGACGCATAACGTCATTACATGTAACATAAGGTCCGCGCAGCACACCAAGGTTTTTTGTATTTAAGTGAAACACTCAGGCAAAGTTTCTTTTCGCCGGGCTACAGCTGATGAGCTGTTTCACCTACCTAGTTGACTATTTATACTAATCCAATATTAGCTACGGTGACATGATGAATCTAATGCGTAACAAACAGAGTTAAGTCTTAGGTTACCATCTACATTTTGAATTGCGTAGAAAACGAGCAGGTGGTCAAGTAAGGAATCGCTAGACTAGGTATGCCCATCAGCCGCAGACCCAAAGCGATGTGCAATCTTCTCAAAATCAGCCAGCCAAAACTTACAACGAACAGTTTGCGGCTGATGTTCAGCTGAGCTGCCGACAGCCCGATGCACTTGGTTCTGCAGTGCGCTTACATAATCTGACAGCTGCCTTACCTCCCCACCATCAATTGTGTGGTTGTTGCCTGCTCATATAGCCTGCGAATACTTCAAGCTTAGAACCTACAGTTTAAAAACAACTCTCTGAGTATTATTCAAACACTCCTGGCGCAGCTATACCGAACGCAAGAACCGTAAATTGCCCGTTTGAGCTCTGTTCAGCATGGCTTCCAAACTCCATCTCTACCACACCCCAGGCTCCTGCTCGCTAGCCACACACATCGCACTCAACGCTGCATCCCTCAACTTCGAGGCCACAAATCTCAATGCTGCACGGGGCTTCCCCGAGTCCCAGCTACATCTCAACCCCAAGGGCCGCGTCCCAATCTTGGAAGTGGATGGCGAGTTGATCACCGAAACACCTGCTATTCTTACCACTATATCTGCTCTGTGCCCTGAGAAGAATCTGCTGGGAAAGGGCGTAATAGAGCAGGCAAGAGCTCAAGAGTGGATGGTGTGGCTGTGCGGAACACTGCATGGCCAGGCATTTGGATGCGTATTTCGACCTGCGCGCTTTGTCAAAGATGAAACAATGTATGATGGCGTACGTTCAAAAGGACGAGACCATGTCAAAGAGTGTTTCGAGTATATTGAGAAAAGGCTGGAGGGGAGGAACTGGGCGGTTGGGAACGACTTTACCGCCGTCGATGCGTATCTGCTCGTGTTTTACCTGTGGGGAAACCTACTGAAAATGGAAATGCGGCATAACTACCCCAGCTATGCGGATCTGATGGATAATGTCATAAAACAGGAAGATGTGAAAAAGACCATTGGAATCGAATGCATAAGCCCCCTGAATGAGTGAGTAGATCAAGCAAGGGCGTATGAAATCAGGCAGAGAAAGCATGGAGAATACGAATTGGATGAACAAATTCTTTTCCAGGACTTTGAAATATTTCTGCTTCGCTAAATTTATCCGTCTTGGTCTGATTGGAAAAGTATAGAGCCGTGACCTGCTGCCTACAAATCATTCTCCTTTAACTGACACCAAATCATGGCGTCGTCATGAAATTTTCCCATTTGTCTCGTACCGGGGCTGAGAATGGCAAGGGTTATACGAAAAGTCGTGAGCGCTTTGATGGAGATATGACTTGATGAACGCATCAGAGGTCACTCTCATCAAAGCTGTCATCGTAGTCATCCTCGTCAGATTCTTCAGATTCCGATAGGTTCTCTTCGCCATCAGTAGTATCTGCCGCTTCGTCTGAATCATACATGTTGTGTACAAAACGATTGATTGCATTGCCGTCCATCTTTCGTGCAATGACTAGTTTGCCTTCAATCCTTACGTGCCGTCGTGGAATGAATTGATCCGCCTAGGAAAACAAAATCAGTGAACAGACGCACGTGCTATCTTCAGGATCTTCTCGTACCTCATCTAAGACATCGATAAGATCAAACATCCATGCTGCACCCAACGGGCCGTTTGGCTCTCCCAAGTAATCCGTGATGTCGCAATTGACGAGTTTGTGACAGGGAGGGCCTCGTGCGTTCTGCCAGTGCCCACGATACGTCCAGGTGACTCTCAGAGAAGCTCGGTCCTGCTGAAACTTCTGGAAAATGGTACCGAGAGTATCGACTGCCTCCTCTAAGACGCTCAAACGGATGTTGCGTTGGTACAGAATGATGTGAAGTTTGAAGGCACTGTTCGTCTTGATATCCGTCAAAACGCTGAAGTCTTGTCGCAGCCTTTCTCGGCAGATTTGTGCTGTCTCGCTCAAAGAATGGTTGCATTTGGGTGACAGCTTATGGTCGGGTGGAGGAGTACGGTAGCGATCGACCTTACAGTGAATCGTCAAACTTCGGATCAGGTCCATCATAGGAAGGCCGACATGGAAATCGTCCTTTTCAAACATGGACTTGATGTGATGCGATTCGCATTGCAAGAGATCTGCTTTGTTGAGATGATGATACAACGACACACCCACCTCATGTGCAGTGAGGGCGCCGATATAGTCCGACGACAGATAGTGCGGCACAAGACCATTGTCAAAAAACACTTTTAGATTGCCATCGTTGACATGGAATAGCGACTGGGTAATATCTAGCAGAAGCGGGAAATTCTCAATCGTGTCTGGCATGTCATCGGCGCATGTGAAGGTGTAGTGTTGCCTTAAGTGTAGCCGCCCCATCTGGTGTGGGGATGTTCTGTCGGGATGGAAGTACCATAGATATCCGTAGACCATGTCTCGAATCTCTCGTGATAAGCGTGTTTGCATCTGTCTCGCGAAGTCCTGGTTCCACGCCTTGCAATATGGGATTATGGTGCGCGTGAGGACGGTGTTGTTTAGCCAGTCTTCGTACTGACCATGCAGCATCAAGCGCTTGGTGACAAGGCATCGTTTACGCTCTTCTAGGCGTTCTTCCTCCTTGTCGATCTCTTGTGCGCTATCTGGAATTAGCCAGATTCTGGTGCATTACATGTTTTGGAAGTAAGAGTTACGCTTGTGAGAACTCGGCATCCCTACGCTTTGCCCTAGGTACGAGTCAGCATGGTCCCATAGCAGTGCATTTGTGGCCGGACCGGAGTAGCTTGTCTCGAGCTTTTGCCAGCTCCGTCTTTTTGAGGGCACCAGGAACATTCGGCATGACTGTATCAGCAGCTCGTTGTGGTGCAGATGGCAGAGGAGACGAGGGAAAAGGACGAGGCGATCAAGAGCAGGTGAAGCTGCTTGCAGTTGTGTTTGTTGTCGCACACAGGGCCCAGAGGAGCAGTTGCCTCTCAGAGAAGAGCTATACCGCATTTGGCCGAGGACTTGCACCCATGACGCCAGAGCGCCGCGCAGTCACGTTGCCTCTCAACTGCGGTTCCGGCCAAAAGGAAGGCAGAAAGATGGAATGCGAGGGGCAGAAACAAGAAAGTGCTCTAAAACTGGCTGTCGCTGGCCATTCCATTATTCTTGTTCGCTATCGACAATGATATGCCGTCACTACACCTGTTCTGCATCTGTCTTGTATTCCACCGTCGCTTCGAGCTACCTATTATCATGTTACTGAGCCTTCACTGGGCCTTTTCTGTAGACAGGTTCTGGCCACTCTTATCATCCTGGAAACAAGGCATCACCGAGAGAAGGCAAAGATACAGTTGCAGCGATGCATCAGGTAGGCTAGGATTATGTCACTACCCTGCACGTGCGTGGTGCGCTAAACCTAAAACGGTAGGACAATTGCGTACGTATCTGGCGGGCAATGCCTCCAGAGCTTGACATGGCTTTCTGTATATCCTGTCTTTCAAGCATGACCTTCAGTTTTGGCTCTCATGAATGCATCTCTTGTGTATCCCGATGACATTCCTCGAGCACGATAAGCGCGGCTTTGCTTTCCCCACAGTGTGCACCACCCGGTTGTTGTCGCCCCAGATTTGATCTAGTGCAAGCCCAAACGTCCGAATGGAACCCCGGTTATCCCAATGGGTCTCCAAGAAGCGTAGTGAATAGGGTGTGTTTAGGATGCTCCACAACCCCACATGGCGTACCCGCATATTCAATCTTGAAAATCTAGCCGACGCTCGCGCTCCTCACCCTCCCACCATATCCACCATGCCCGCAGCCATCAACATAATCAAAGCTTCTGTCGGCACAGCCTTCGGCCTGGCTGGTATATATACCGTGTTCGTCTCGCTTCTTACAGTTCCAACACTTCAAGACCATGTCATTTTCTTGCATCGAGTCATCCGTACCTGGGGCCAGGACATCAACATACCCGAGCAATGGGGATTCCTACGCAATCAAGTCACACCTTTCCATCTCAAGACGCCAGATGGCGAGACGCTACATGCATGGCATATACTGCCACTAGAGACATACCGCCGACACCAAACCCAGCTCCGTGCGGAACCGACCGGCCTGTGCACAAACATCCAAGAAAGACTTTCTTTCAAGTTGCTTAAAGAAAATCCTGACTCACAAGTAGTCATCTATCTACACGGTGCTGCGGGTACACTGGGGTCAGGATGGAGACCGCAAAGTTACAGAGCTCTTAGTGCAACTTCCACAAACGTTCACGTGATCGCTATCGACTACCGTGGGTTTGGCACCAGCACAGGATGGCCTTCAGAAGCTGGTTTACTCACAGACGCCCTCGCTTTGGTCGACTTTGCGACCAAAACTGCGGGCATACCCACAGAGAGGATAGCTGTATTTGCTCAGTCGATGGGAACTGCTGTAGCAATATCGCTCACGCACCACTTGGCGCTGAAGTCTCCCCCAGTGACTCTCGCGGGGGTTATACTCGTCGCGCCATTTGCCGATGTAGAGTCGCTTACAAAGACTTATAAAGTCGTTCGCACCATTCCGCTCCTCTCTCCTCTCGCACCGTTCCCTCCAGTCATGAGACTTCTCCATAGCTTCATCAGAACGAAGTTCCCTTCTAAAGAAAAGCTTGCCTCTCTCATCCACCATCTCGATAGCGCTGAATCGAAGAGCAACCAGTGTATGTATGATATCACGCTCATACACGCTGAGGACGATTTTGATATACCGTGGAGCCACTCAGACGTCTTGTTTTGGCATGCAGTCAACGCAACGCTTGAGTCGCCTTCCTACCTTACGTTTAAAGACCTAGAAAAGATCAAGGCCAAAGATAAGACGCCACTTGGTGCAGGGGGTTGGGAGTCGGAATGGAAAGGGAAGAGGGGGATCATACGAGAGCAAGTCGTCAAACATGGTTCGCATGATCTTATTATGAGCTATCCGGTTGTCAGCCTTGCCATCTCAAGAGTCTTTCACCGCGAATAATTCTAAAATAATCGACTGCCGCAAACCGGTCGCTTACGAGAGAACAAGATATGCAAACCAAAAATCAGTTCAATATTTCAGAGTGATAGCAGAACGCGACCGCAAACTGGAAACTAAAACCTAGTCAACATTCATAATTGGCTTACAGAAAAGCCTGTCCAACAAGCACATTGGGCCGGAGTCATCTCTTTAGAATCCTCAGGAAAAAATTCGTTACACTCTGATGGAATGACAATATCGCATTGAGTTGTGTTGCTATTACTTTAAACTTATAATCACGCCGTCTGCTCCCTCTCTTTATACGTCACTCGTGCCCACTCGTAAAACGGAATGGGTGGTTCAACCTCCTTACCTGTCAAATATTTCCTCCAATTTTCTGATACATGTTTGCGCATATACACAACCCTATATGCGATATGCCATCGCGTTGGCAGATCGAATGTGTATTGCAGCTCTTCCAACGTACGCATCCTTGTTTCAGGAACGAAAAGGTACACCAATACAAATGCCACCAAGTTTAAGCCTGCAAAAATAGAAAACGCACTCGTCGCGCCAATTTCGTGGAGCACAAAAGGGAATACAAGGACGAGAATGCCGGCACCAAGCAAATTGACAGCAACTGACACGGCCATACCAGCTTCCCTGGATACCAGTGGAAATACTTCTGCACATATGGAAAACGGAGAGGTTCCTGCTGTGGGTGCGTAAAATGCGACAAAAATAACAGCAAAGACACTGACCATAGGTACGCGGACAGACTGGTCGTGTAACTTGAACAGGAATGCAAAGACCAGCATTGACCAAGCCATGTTTGGTAGACCCAGACAAAGTAGATTCGAGCGCCCTAGCCTATCGGAAAGCGAATAAGCCGGAAGGCCGAATATATAATTCGCAGCACCGAATGCCAGGCCGATGATTGCTGCTGTCTTATCGCTGTTGGCTTCGATGGAGTTTTTCCAGACTATCGTTCCGAGGACGGCGATGGTGTTTACGCCTGTGAATTGTTGAGTTATCATGGATATAGAGGCGCACAACAAGGCTCGGCGGCATCTCCTATTTTGCCACAATTCCATCAATCTCTTGTAGTATCCTGTTACGCCAATATGGTATGAGTAAGGATTGTCTTTCTTCTTCGCTTGATGGATCCCCCTCGCCAAATCCATACTTGAAATATCGCTCCACCTTCTTCCGACATCTGCAGGCTCCGTATCGCTGTTCGGAAAATTCCTATGTGGATGTGTCAGGGGCGAAGGCCTGGCCCTTGATGGGTTGTCTGCATCTGTGATGTCCATTTCGCCATCATGAGAGTGTCGGATAGATCGATCGGGTGATCCAGAAGACTGCGTTCCGAGAACTCCAAGCTGCGGGTCGTTTGAGGTTGACATAGGCATTTGCCTAGCTAGACTTTCGACGTCATTTCCCACGCGTTCGGCCAACTTACCATATTCGTTGGCACGACCCTTGAGCATGCGGCTTTCAAAGTCGAGTTGGGCATGCGCGTACATAAAATCACGGCTAGCCAGTAGAGGTGTGGTCTGTACCTGCTCAAAGGCCTCCAGAGCTTTCCTATATCTGCCGTGCTTCATGAGGTATCGTGGAGACTCAGGCATCAGATAAATCATGACGAGCAGCGGTATCGTCGGGATGAGAACAGTGTTTGTCAAGATACGCCATGCAGTGCCGGCATTCTTGACATAAATGACGACCAACAGGTTTGCAAGGAAACCAAGGAAGATGCCTGCATGATTAGTATTTTGGTTCACAGAGACAGCTGCACAACCCACCTGCCGCATCAGCTAGCTGCCAATTTGCCAGGATTGCTCCGCGAATATGCTCTGGTGTGAGCTCAGCCGAATATATTGGAACTGGAAAGATTCAGGACACGGCTATCAAGAGAAGAAGAATTATGGTCACTTACTAATAGATGCTTTCGCACCCAAAGCTACTCCATTGATTGCTCGACAGGCTGCGAGCTGACCTACATTGTGCGTGACGGATGAACCAATAGTCGAGGCTACTGTAATGGCACATGACAGCATGACACTGCCACGCCTCCCTAGAAAGTTTTCTTGCAGGGGATCTGCAATAAGAGTCCCGAACAGCCCGGCAGAAAGTAGGGGCATTGCATTGAGCATGCCAAAAGTCCACAAATCAGATGATGGGCAGTGATCTCCCTTTTCAATGCAGAGCCCGAACTCTTGTGGCATACCATAGGCCGTGCCGTTGTTGACACTTTGTGTCCACCCTTGAATCATTCCTCCAAGGCTAGCCGTCATAATGGTCGCACGGAAGAACTTGGACTGCTTCCAAAACCCAGACTTCTTGTCCTTTTCCTTTTCTAGTAGTAGCTTTTCTGGGTCTGTAAGCTCGTTCCCGTATCTGCTTATAGTCTCGTGCTTGTCTCGAGCTAATCGCGCACCGAACCTGAGCAGTTCGTATCGGTCTTTGAGATCTGCTTGAACAGCAAACTGCCAAACATATTCTTCCAACTCTGTACGCTCGGTTCCAGCATCTGTTCCCGTATCATCAAAGGTCAGGAATGGGTTGTCAATGCTGCGGCAGAGTCAGCTTCGTGCCTATTCTACCGTATTTCTTACCCACGTTTGTCTTGCACCTGTCGAGCCAGCGTGATTGACTGCGAGTTTGCGACTAGCAACCTTACTCCCCCTTCTTCTTTCATCATCACTGTTTTTCTGACCCACTAATGATGTTTCGATTTTCAAGATACGGTTTCGCGCCCCTCGCGCCGTCAACTATGGCCAAATCCAGACTTTTATGTGTTGCTGCAACAGAGGTTTACACCGCAAGGCAGACGGCATTATTCAGCAGAGAAATTTCTCGGGCGAGGCAGACAGCACTGTAAGCACACCTGTTACCACACCTTTTACATTACCATGCAAGAGGTGGCTGAGTGAAGCCTATGACACGTCGTAGCTACGCTGCTGTCATTTCATTGGTTGCCTTTCTTTTTTTCGGCTTGATAATATATTTGACTTGTCCCGATTCCACAACATGGAGCGCGCATGATGACCCGATTGAGAAGCGCCTCCATACCCCGCATCACGCTTCAATGTGAGTCATTGCATCACTGTGCATTACTCTTACAAGTTGTGAGGCTCCGCGGACCACCCGCTATGTAAAGGCTGAGCTTTTGCCTGATTTTTAAGCCAGTGAGCACCACCCAACCACCCTCCCTGTCTCTGTCGCTCGGACAACTGTCACGCCTACGCTAACACACGTGAGAGGCAACTAATTGACCTGCCAGGCTGCTGCCACAGCTTTCCCACTTACTCTGAGGGCCTGCAAAAAAAATGACGGTCATGCTTCATCGTTTTTACACAGCTCTGTCTAAAGAACCACCAATACACGGCAACAGGCGTCGACAACTCTGCTTCACACAGCAACACACGCGGTACTAGCCACTCTGCGGTCCCTGAATGCCTTCAGCGCGTATTTTGGTTATTCACGACGACACGTTTCACGCGCGGTTCCCGACCCGCCCGCAAGCTTGCATTTCTCACCAATATGAAGTCTTGACACACGTATGTTATCCACTCAGTCGAAAAAGCTGTTCTTTGATGTTAATATCTACCAGGCGCGATATCACTGTGAAATTCAGTAGCAAAAATCGAAATTCGCGTTCACTACACTCTTCGACAGGTCTACAACAAGTGTAAAACCGGCATCAAAATGGCCGAACTAGTATCTAGCATTATCACCATTGCGACACTGGGTCTTGCAGCGATCAAAGAATGCGCCAGCTACATTGAAGCAGTGCGAACAGTCGATAAATTGGTAGATCGGCTTCTCGAGAAAATTACAAATCTCCACGAGATGGTACGCCATGTCAATCTGACACATCACAAGGCGGAAGCAGATGAGAGTAGTGAGTCGTCGAAATTAGTGCGCGATAAGATCATCCTATGTAGACAGCGTCTACGCCAAATCAAACCTAGAATCGTCGACCTTGCGTCTCTTAATTCAGAGACATTGATGGAAAAGACGATATTGAAACGGAATTTCGACCAAGTAACAAGAGACATCGAATTTGCAGTACAGGATATCAATAATTACATGGCAGATATCAACACACTGTTCAACTGCTGGAGACTGTAAGCTCAAAAGTAGTCTCTCATTGACATCACTGATATGCACCAGTGAGTTGGCACATTCCGCTCGTCGCCATTCCGAGATATCACGTCTTCACGCCCCAAGCGCATCTCATCGACGTGCCTCAGAATCTATGAGACCAGTAAGTTGATATTTCGCTCGCCCATGTTTAGCAAGAAGCTGCTCACCATGGCAAATAGCAATCAAATCCATTTGAGCTTCGAGGCCCATTATCCTCTAGTGCTAGCGTCGAGTCAAACCATGAACTACATACATTAGTCCGTACACAGTCTGCCGCGAGGTCTGACTTCCATTCACCTCCCTCAACATTTTCTCAGTCGCCACTTGACGACACTGAGAGTGTCTCATCAGCGCCAAGCTCCGCTCCACCAAAAGATGAGGAAGAGTGGAAGTACTTTCACTCTAAGATTCTCAAATGCATAGATGATGAATTTCTCGTTGATGAGATTCGTTCGATGCTTGAACACGCTCCGGATGCCGTCGCACTTGCGAACATTCCTGGAAAATGTCAAAGAGTACCTTTACATATAGCTGCCCAACGCGGATTTCGTCGAGTAGCATGCGTATTGCTTGAATTTGATGCAGACATCAATGCCAAAGACACTGAGCCGTCTAGTGTGCTTGACCACGCGCTCGCGAACAGGCAAACAGACTTTGTGGCATTCTTGTTAGAGCATCACGTCGATGAAACAGGTATACTCGAACGCAACATACCAGCCCTCAGACAAGCAAAAAGCACTATAAAACTTCAAACCGATCAAGTTGCGCGCAGAAGCAGTGTACCAGTAAGGAACGAAGGCTGCAAATTCAGCTTCATCAGACGAAGAAAGCATTCCACATGAGAGATTCAGCCTGGGAGCACATGGTAGCCTCCCTGACAAAGTTGTGAAACTCATAGCATAATCCTAATAAGCAAACGTAATATCAAGAGGCAATAAGGTGGGCTGTGTAGGGCGCCTTGTGTCAAGCTAGGGTCCATTTTCGACTGGTGGCTAAGCCCCCACGCTCGGAGTCCGAGTAGGTATCACCGTGGCGGCCCCGCGCCTCCACCATATCTTCGTCGCGGTATACATCTGATGTAAGCTAGACTGATATGACAAGTGGGTCTGGTAGCCTTGGAACGACTGCAACAGGGGTTCAGTGGGTATGTAATTTCGAGGAGAGCGACGTCGCTGACACTGTTCAGATTGTTCGGCCCCATCGCCTTGTGGAGGGACGAAATAACCGGAGAAGATTTGGATAAGTCGCTTTATCACGTGCATGATTGGTGTCACTGCGCGATTTAGTCACATGCTACGTCGATGCTCAATTTATTTCCCACATGATTGTTTCCATGTGTGCTAAACTGTGCGAGCACATGCGTATAATGGGTATACCAACTTGATACCAGCCTCTTTCCACTTCATACCAGGTAGATGTATAACTATAGGCCAGCGAAAAAAATGCAGCACATGCACTGCATAATGCCACAAGCCAGTCTCACCGACGCTTCACCCAAGCCCCCTCTTCAGTACAAAGTATTCGGTTAAACTAACCATTCCCACACCCACACTCCGTAATGCACTGGCTACATTCGCTATTTGTGGCTGAATAACGAATTAAACTAAGATTATTTTTTGATTTTTTTTTCGTAAATCTAATATGCGTGTTACATCTAAAACAAATATATTGAGAAAGTTAAACGGGCTCTTGTTCCATGGCAGGTTCACATGTAACAAGGAATCATCTTATAGCAAACAAAGTAACCCCTGAAAATTACCGTATTTCACAAAAGTTTTCCCTGAAAAACACAAATAAAATAGTTAGGCGTTGTATAACACAATCAGGTACTTTGACAGACAGCCCCGTGAACCAAAGTAGCCACGGCTAACAAGGCATGCATTCAGACCGCTTGCAAGTTTCCCACACACAGCAGGATCAGCCATGGCGTCGCGGGTTAGACCTCATTTGACGCCCTCATCTACACCATCTATAGGATAAATGAGGATGTTAGGGTTTGGCACTGCGTGTGGAGATGCGGATGCAGTGTTGGGAAGAGCAAATGTAAGTGCTGGAGCGAGGATGGTGAAGTGGTTCATTTTCATAGGGCGGGGTTGCACTTCTGATATGTGAGTCGAAATCTCGGATGAAATGGGGGTTTTTCAAATTGCGGAAACTGGAATAAAAGTGTTCTCTGAGTCGCTTTCATGTTTACCTCTTGGTTATTCATAAACAGGCATTTAGCAGTAGTTGTTCTACTTCATGGCTTCTCCGCACTGAGCGCTTGAACGCATCACTGGATCTTGAGAGTGCGTAACCGCGATCAAGTGAGACTGAGGACAGCAGGGTTAATATTGATTCGGAGATGAATGAATATACTTGTTGCATGGTATCCAAGCTAATGAACATGCATACGGCCTCCTGACTCCTCTCTACATACAAAGCATACGAATGCATGTAACACCCCGTCGTACTATTCTCCCAACTGGTACGTAGCCCTTTCACACCTTGCTTCATTCACCTTTTAAGCAGTCTGATACATAACCCCATTGGTAATCACGTAGATGAGTTTCACATTATGTGAAGCGTGCTGGGTATTGGTCATGTGTGCATCGGGTTACATGGGCTAGGCTAGGCTCGGCTTGTCTGAGTCGTGGTTATTACTTGTTCTGGGTAGATTGGTTGGGTGCAAGGTTGCGAACGGGAGCTAGGCTGCAGCGGAATGGGCAGTGGGGGTAAATACGAGGATGTGGGTTGCAATGTGGGGTTTTCTTGGTGATTGGGACGGAAGGTAACGGGGAGGCTATATGTCGTTCTACGAGTCATGACTAAGAGGGTTTTTGCGGATGCTTTGGGGCTTGAGCATTGGGTGCAGGTAAATAAAAGATTGGGGAAAAGCAATGTTAATGGTGTCAAGGTAACCATCAGATAGCCTTCACTCGTGACTTGAACGCGGCTGTCACGTGAGCACGAGACGTTATGTGCACGGCTAAGAGCAAAAGCGAATCACCAAAATAATGAATTTTAATCAAAGCTATCGAAGCTTTGGAAAGCTCAACTACCCTGATTGCCAAATTTACTCTCATAATCACACAACAACAGTACTGTGTGGCGAAAGCCACCACGCTTAAACACGAGTCTGCTCAACATGTGGGGTCTTCTCGGAGCCGATGTTGTCGAGGTGCTCATCGTGGACGCCCTTCTCAATGGCGTGCATGTCGACGTGAGGAACGGCATCGTCGCCATCGAAGATACGCGAGATCTCCTCGAGAGTGGGACCCTGGGAGACATTGTTAGCAACTGTTTTGTGAGGCAAAAGACATGTATACATACCTTGGTTTCGGGATAGACAAAGTAGACAAAGACGAGTTCGACGAAGATCCAAAGAGTGTAGAAGAGGGCCAAGTTCCAGTGCTTGGGAAGGTTGTCCCACGCGACGGGGTTGGTCTGACCGCCCATGGCGAGAATAGCCTGAACAGTGATGTTCATGATCATGAGACCCTTGGCACGAAGGGCATATGGCAGAATCTCGAGAGCGTAGGCAACGAGCAAACCGGACCAGGCAAAGGCATAGAAGACACCAAAGAGCCACACAAAGGGAATCTGTGCGTATCCGGCACCCTTGTTCGTCTCGTTTGAGTTTTCGTAGATGGCGCAAGTGATAGTCCAGCAAATGAAGGAAACCATCATTCCCGAGGTGGCACCCAAGAAGAGCGGACGACGCCCGACCTTGTCGATCAAAGTAGCTGCGTATGTGGATACCAAGAGGGCCAAGATACGTTCACCGCCGGTGAGCTAAGTAGTGAATTAGCAAAGATCTTTGAGCAAATCAGCAAGTGAACTTACACCCATCTTCTGGTTCTGACTGTCGATTCCAGCACCCTCGTAGACCAAGTTGATGTAGTTGGAGAAGAGCGCGTTGCCAGAGTACTGAGAGATGATACCGAGCGAAATGAGAATGGCCAACCTCCATCGGTTACCCTTGGTCCTCAAGAAGTCGATGTAGCTAGAGTTGCTGTTGGCGTCGGCTTCCATTCGGATGGCCTCCCTCATCTCAGTGTATTCAAAGTTGACAGTGGCGTTTTCTCGGTCACCCTCGGCATGGTAGTATGCAAGAATGTCCAAGGCCTCCTCGTAGCGTTCCTTGGAAATCAACCAACGTGGACCTAGATTGCATGTTAGTCGCATGTTCAGATAGTGATTTGCGTTTTGAGATATCACTTACTCTCTGGAACCCACCAGATGAATGCCAGCTGGAGTGCAGATGGCAGACCCTGGAGGAGAGTAATGGACCTCCAAGACCAGTTGTTGTCGGCTTGCGATGTACCCCATGCAATCCACGCGACGAAGAGTGCACCCAAGTTCCAGAGACAGTTGTAGACAGCCGTGAAGATACCGCGATGTTGAGGGTGGCAAATTTCAGTGAGAAGAATAGGCGAGCACATCTGAGCGAACGAGTTACCGAATCCGAGAACGAAACGACCGCCCATGTAGATCTGCCAGTTGGTGGAGAAGGTCGAGATGAGAGCACCCGCAATCATAATGGTGCAGCCGACAGCGATTGGGAGTTTACGTCCAGTCCATTGGGTCAAGAACGGGACGAGGAAGAAACTGGCAATTGAACCAATGTTGTACATGTTGTTCATTATACCGAGCCGGTTTCCCTTTGGGTCGTCAAAGTATTCGGTCCAGCGGATCATCTGCTGCGATGAGTTCATCATCATACTGAGGGCTTGGTTAGCAAAAGCACGCTCGAAAGAGGCGAAGAGACTTACCCATCGTAACCGGTAGTAGCAGAGGCAATGCAGAGAACTGAGCTGTGCCAGAAGAGTTTACGCATGTTTGGGTGCTTGTACCAGACAACCTTCTCGAACTCAGGCACATCATCGCGGGCAGCACTGTTGCCCTTTGGCGCGCCCACTCCCATACCGACCATGTTGGGCAAAAGACAAGTTGAAACTCAGGAACAAGAGGAGCCGAACACAACGAAGGTGAGTCGTGCACCGAGTATGCTGGTGGCCGTGGGGATCGATGGTCATCATTGCCCGGCGACCAGTACTTATATCTGACCCGCCATTACCAGATGAGAGGCGAGGCCGCGAGTGGAGCCCACGCAGGCAGTATGACTATCCCTGACGGTTCGACGGACATGGATGCCGCGTTATGCAGGAAGTCTGCTCAACCGCAGATGTGGAGAGGGCCAGTAAGATGATACCAAGAAAACTCGATTAAGCCACCCGTTGGCACGAGGCCCGCAGCGCCGTAGGCGAGGCGTGCAACTTGTTCTTGTCAAAGCTAATTATTGATTTGGTGCTAGTGTCTCGAATGTCCCCTGTAGACTGGAGTGGCCCCATGGGGTGTCCGAAAGCGTTCAAGAAGCCCACAAGGTGCAGGGGTGTTTGCAAACATTCGAGCACCGCGAGACCCAAGAGGGGCACCAAGCCACACTTGGCCCTTGTTCAGAGCTTGCCTTGATCCAACGGTTGACAAGCAGTGGTGGTGGAGGAGGAGGAGGAGTCTTGCATCTGCAGCCCGATCCTAGATGTACGGACGAGGCAGCATGGGCGAGGGCTGGAGGCTTGGAGACGGCAAAAGACGGTGTGGTCGCTAAGTAGCCCTTGAGGATTGGAAAGTTTGCCTCAGCAATGCGTGTGGGGAGGCTTGCCACCAGATCACAGTGGACATCTTGCCCCGTCGTGCTCACGCTCAAGTTCCGCCGAGGCAGCTGTGCCAAGACATGAGGCTTGTCGTGCCGCCAGTGCTGGCAAAGAGGTTCTGGCGAGTCGAAACGGCCATCACAACAAGCGACTCGTCCCGCGGATATTTCTCCTTGGCATCCGATCAAGTCCTCTGAGGTGGTGCTCAGTTGCAGGTCGACCAACCACGAGCCCGTTCTGCGACAAGTCCCATTTCTCTACGCAGTCACAAGCTGCCAAGATGGATAAATGGACCTGCACCCCGACGGCGGGACCTGGGGGGTGCTCGGAGATGCATGGCCAGTAGGCGCCATGGCCAGAGAATCGATGCCCATCTTCCCGACTTGGGCGTCCGAGGAGCGTGCACAATGAGTTTCTGGTTTCTGGCTTCTGGCTTCTGGACACGCCATCGCGTGCTGTCGAGGCTGCGGTGCCTCTGTTCAGCCGGCGTGGCACAAAGCTTGCGGGCGTCAGACAGGCTCGGCCAAGAGCAGAGTCTCGGATGGCGTCTGCTCGTCGTCAAAGATGCCGGCAGGCAGGTGTGCATAGATTAGGACAAGCCTGAACCCAGGCGCCGAGGTGCTGGATTGCAATTAATTGCGTCGTGGGGAAGCGAGCGCTGATGGTGGGGCACGAACACTTTACTCCTTCGCTAACTGCCGCATGCCCGGCCCTCCGCTGGGCTGCTAGCGGCACGCTCTCCAGCTCTATCTTGACGTCCATGGACGGTCGTGTTGCTTTGGATGCCAGATGCACCGTCTCAGAAACCACGCCGGCACGAAGCTATCGCGCCCAAGAGATCCCCGTGCTTGACCGGCTGTACCCTCTCTGCCAATTCCCGCTAACTCTTGGACGACCTTGGCTCCAACCAGGCTTTGCACCAGCGGGGCCGGCGCCTCTGTGAGGGAGGGCGGCCTGCTGATTTAACCGGGCAAGATTGTCTTGTCGTCTTGGTACCGTCAGGCGCCAAGTATGCCTCCCGTATCGGCGGCGGACGCTGACCCGCACACGCGGGACGTCCTGGTCGAGCGCCAACTGTCATTTCACCATGTACCAAACAGCCTTGTCGTCCAAAGCCCGCCTGGGCCTTCCATGCAGCAGCTTCTCTTCTGCAACTACAGGCTGTCTGCAGAAGCACTGGCACTGTACACCATCCGTGTCTCATCGCACATATCCAACGGCTCTCCACCGTCGCCTTGGACCTATCCTTCCCCCAAGGGAGCAGCGTAGTGGTGACGAACTCGACTGACTTTTGCAGTCTTGGTATCTGACACGCTACGAATAGGCCCCTTTGGCGTGTGGGAACCAAGGCGGAAACCGGCAGTCTTCTCTCTAGCCAGTCTATCGCCACCTTCAGAATACACATATCCGTTTCGAGGGCACGTAAACATGATGGGTATAGGCACACCACGAACCTCAGGCTTATCCAAAGGATAGCCGCGATCCACGTGTAGCGCATGGCGCAATGCGGTGTGGCACCATGGCCATTTCGAGATCTTGTCTCACAAGTGGGGCTTGTTAAGCTTCTGGAGCCCTTGGTATTGAAACATGTCACGCCTGAGCCTTGCTTCTCCGTTGCTACATGGGCCCAGAACCGCCTCGCCAGGGCTGGCGTTGGTATTCATGACGGGACACCTCTCCGCCGGATAGCAATCCGTCCATGAAAGTGTCCAGGGTGAGGCCTGTGGCGTAAGGTCAGTTCTGGGACAGCATTTATCAGGCCACAAGGTCTAGCGTGTGTGGGCTTTTAGCATTCAAAGTGCATGTGATACTGCTGGGCAGCTTAATCCCGAGTCCTTTACATAGGCACGTGTGCGAGTACTGGCGGCTAGGTTGGGTCGTTTTCTGGAGAGTGCTGAGCTACACCTGACGATTCTGGCCCAATGGGAGGCGACTTCATCTTGGTGTGTAGAAGCAAGTGAGCGATCAGCCGCTACACCCATCCATGTGGGTAAGATCCAGGAACGCTTAAATGACCAGGGCTCAATCGGTCCTAAGGCCACCATGTGTGCTTCGAGAAACGGATAGGATGCAGCCGAGTAGACAATCGCTTGGCGCTACTGTAATCAAATTGCACTACTATATTCTCAGACTTGGTTCTCGGTATGAAACGCAAGTACACGTAGCTGTTCTCTATCCCAGAGTAACTATGTTTTTGGTGCTCATCTTCCAGTACCAATCATGAGTGCATATGCAATCATGAGCTTGGTTTCTGAACATCGGTCAACGCAAATCTCTTGCAGTCAACATATATAGCGTGGCAAATATCCACAGAATCCAACATATGCTAATCCAGACCCGCCAGCACACAACTTCGAGTTTTCTGGAAACCGCTAGGAAAGCACGCTATCTAGGAGAACCGACCACGAGGAATCGACTAACAGCACTTTTAACACCTGCAGCTAAGGCGCTAGCGCGCAGTAGGGAGAAGAAGGAGGCCTTCCTTCGTTATCTCACGCCTGTGAGAATTTTCTCACAGAGCTTGGGCTCTAATGCCAAGACTAGAGGGGCCAATAGGAACGCAGGAGCTCATTGAAGCTCAAATTCAGCAAGAAACACAGACATATCAAAACAATAAAAATAGCAAAAAAAGACTAGCCTCAAAGGACCTTAGAGGCACAAGCAAACGACTAATGGATAATAATACCAGAAATCGAGATGGCTAAGGAGGCCTCTACGCCGTCGCCTAACAGGCAACCAGAAGAACCG